GTGTACTGTACTGTACTGTACAGTACGGTACAGTAGTAGTAGTAGTACTGTAGTACGCAGATTTACAGTATAGCACAATACTATAGTCTACAGTACAGTATAATATACTGTACAGTACAGCATCATACAGTACTGTATAGTAATACCGTAGGATAAGTTTCGGGCGTTCACCTCTTATTTCCATGGCAACCCGAAATCCAGGCGATGTAGTATCAGCCATGGATCTCATATCATACAATAACTAAAGCAAATTCAATTTAAATTTAATAGCGGTGTATAATAAAACTTCACTCCACATCGTGAATGCTTCTTGCTGGAGCGTAACTTCGTAATTTATATCCAGACAAAATTGCTCATGGGAAACAATTTCTAATCTCTGCATGAATTTTGTACATTAGGCGCAGTTACTAATACTAATACGATAATCCTTAACAGTATTACATGATATCGATCTATTTTTACCTTCACCTAGTGTGAGACTACTGTCAAGTACAGAACAGTAGTTAGTTTGTGTTGACGATTGCTAAATGAATCTTTAGCATAGAGATTTTGTAAAAGAAAATTTTCAATCCCTCGATTGGCATAGTGAGCTGCTGCAGCCGAACCGTATAGAAATTACTGTCGAGCAATACGTATACGTCAATTTATAGGTTGACTGATCAGTTTATATAGTTCGCCATTGCCAGCAGACGAGTTATAACTTAGCTAGATAGCGAATAAATGGACAGTTTTAATAACCTGCCTGTAACAAGGTCATAGAGCTATAAATGATTATTATAATATGTAGACAAGGGATACTTCCTTCTATAGTGAGACTAACCAATCTGCTATACTGAGGTATGCGTTGGCGATCATCAGTTCCACGCATGTTTGGCTGCGAGCTTATTCATTCGATCTTAAATTCTGTAGATTACAGTACTTACGTTTCTATTCTGATCAAGCTGTTACTGTAGTATCCTCTACAAAAATCTAATTGTAAAGAAGCTCATTTACAATGCACGAATAGAGCTTCCTCCATAGAGTTAGTATTACATTAATTATAATTAGTACTTCCAAGTCGTGAAAATAGTAAACTTGATATTAAAATTATTTATTAGACATGAGTATATTTAACCATAACAACCTTACGCGATATTTCATCTAATACAAAACAGAAGGATTACAATACATGCTATCGTAATTTTTAACTATTAGGTTATATAGTTGCTAACAGTATTTAACCGCTTAATCCTGAACGATATCAAATTATATTTATGCGTATTCTACCATATTCATGAGGTAAAGTTATACAAACGCTTTCAATTCTCCCGATAGTAAGTCATAGTAATTCTACTACATTTACTATTCATACCAATAAAACACGTATACAGAGTTCACTGGAAGACACGGAATATATTTATACTGTTATAAACAGATACATGCATTTATCATTATTAGATTAAATTTCACTTATGACTTATAAGAACGACTTAATAAGTAAAAAATTTAAGAAAGACATGTTTAAAGTACTATTGTATTATTGATATTAACGGTCCATATACAACAGATGCAATAGATGCAACGGGTGCAATCATTCAATACAAGTATAAGAAAAACTATACTTGAATTATTCTCTTTATTAAGATTATTATTATAAGTGGATAATGACAGGATAAAAAACGTAAACGAGAGCGTAAATACTTCCATGCTCAATCAATAGATTATAACTATTAACTCATCGAATTGTATAGAAATACCACAATTAGGCTAATGCAAAAGGCTAACAGTATCGCTAGTACTT